GACGTGAATTTTCTCTGGACTAATTCTCTCTGGACCAATTTTCTCTGGACTAATTTTCTCTGGACCAATTTTCTCTGGATAAACTTAAAGGACCTTAGACATTATGAAAATATTAGATATCCTTTATGCTATAAAATCTTAATACGAGGGACCTTAAAAAAAATCCCTTTTTATTATTTATGGTAATGGGATGACACACATTATAATTGAAAAAAAAAAATTAATTGGGAAAAAAATATTTGAAAAAAAATTAATTAGAAAAAAAGATTAATTGAAAAAAAATTATTTGAAAAATTTTTTTAAAAAAATTAATGAAAAAAAAAATAATTTAAAAAAATTATTTGCAAAAAAAAAAATTTGAAACATAAACTTATTTTTTGAGTTTATATTTTTTCCTCAAATATATAAATTTAGACAATCATTTATAAATAAAAAAAAAATATTAAATAAATTTTTATGACAATTTAAAAAAAAAAATTGTAAATATAACTGAAAAGGAAATGATTACTAGCCGTAAGTAATCGGGCCATTTCCCTAAATAAGTCAAAATACTAATTCAATTCTCAAACTAAGCCTAGTTTTGAAAGAATTTCCAAAAAAGGCTAAATCGTGGTTCACAACCACGATTTCAACATGTATGTGCTTGTCTCGCGTGAAATTTGGGAAGTCTTAAAATCGTGGTTACAAAACGCGATTTTGATTAAGAAATTGTAGTTACAAAAGGCGCTTTTAATTAAAAATTTTTTCTTTTGAAATCGCTGTTCTGAACCACGTTTTTATCGAAAAAAAAATTCTTCTAAAATCGCTGTTTTGAACCACGATTTTTACCAAATTTTTTTTTTCAACAACGAAAGGAGCAATCACATCCGACTCCTCTAAGTGTGGCCGTTTGTCAGTGGGGCCCTCCTCGGAGCCAGCCTCGCTCTCGGCGGTACGTTTTTCTCCCCGATCTTCTGAAATCGGCCGTTCTTCTATCATCGGCCTCTCAGCATCCTTCTCCGTCTCGGCCGCACGAACTTGAGCTGTTTCTTTCACTATAATGGGTTCGGAAGATTCAATCGGGGCAGGTCCAGAATGGGTGGCCTCGGCTTTCCGTCGGGCGGCCATGCGTTCGGCATTTTTCTTTCGTGCCAACTGCATGAGGCTTTCCCCAACCATGCCCTCAGAATAAGCGTCGGGAAGGTCTCCCAAATTCATAAAAATATCTTCAAAGGAGACATCCTCTCGGCTTGATGTGGACGGAGGGTCGGACGAGTTGAGTCCGGCTTCCTCAAAGGCAGAATTAAGAGCTTCGTCAATCTCTGTCGCCAACTGGTTCGGGTCCTCGGCAATTGGTTCGGCCGCTTGTTCTTCTACTTGTTCCAAATCGGATGCTTCTAAACCAATCTGTCTCAAGTTTTTGAAGCTGGGGAAGATAAGGGCTGTAAGATGGTTGTCACCTTTCGGAATCAGAATATTGTCTGCTGCCGAAAATGTCGTGTAAGTCGGCTCGTACCGTAGAAGAATGTGGGCCGCCCTCCCTTGTTTTTGAAGGTTTGGACGGCAGACAAACTGTAGCGCGGTTTTGATTTCTACAAGTATAGCGTCGTCATCTGAGACCAACACTTTCTTCAAGTCGCTTCCTACATAAGCAAAGCGATTAGATGTATATAGGGTCAAATTCAGATATGGAAATAACATAAACAAAAGTGATCTAATCGGCCACCTGGTTCGCCTTTTCGCCTTGGCACAGGGTCTAGGTGATCTTCACCTTTGCCGAATTCCCAATTACCACGGACGACGACCATCACGTCATCGACTCGCTTGCCAGAGCTGGCAAGCATCGTCACTAAGTGATGATCAGTATCCTTGGCTCTAAGAAAGCAGCGTCCTAGCCGACCAGTAGATTTGGCTAGGACATAATAGTGCTGAACGGCAAGTATACCTAAATTAATCCTAAGACGCCGATTTAGCTCTACAATTCCCATTATGATACGAAAGAAGTTCACGTTGTGCTGGGAAGGGATTAGACCCCAGTATCGTAGAATGCCCCTCAAAAATGGATAAAAGAGAAAGCGGACTCCGCCCTTAGCAATTGACATGAGGGAAAAGACGATTGTGCTCTCGTCATCCCTCTCCATATCAGTGGTGCTGTTTGCCAAAAGTGACAGATAGACGTCATTGGGGATGGAAAAATGGCGACGAAAGCCGGAGATTCGGTCCGTTGAAAGGAGCTCCTTCAGATGTTTTGCCATCTTGGCCAGCCCAAGGATTATGGAAAACTAAAAGCAAACAATGAAGCGGGATCGAAAGTGAAGGAGAAGAAAACTTACAGGGGGCGAAGGGAAAGACAAAAAACAAGGAGTTGCAGAAGTGGCGAAGTAAAGGAGTTGCACTAGAAGGTGAACTAGATATCTTTGAGTATTCAAAACATACATTTGAAGAGACAATTTCAAATCACATTAAATGGAGGCAGTGCACGAAGGGGCGGGAAAGCGTTACAATGACCAAAAAGCGTGTACGTGTTCTGACACGCATTGGGAAGAGGGCTAACCGCCAAATTTTTGACTTCCCACGCTAGAAGCCAAACACGCCGACTAACTGATGCTAGTGGGGTGTTTGGGGGGCAATTGTGGAAGCCGAATTTCACTGGATCAATAGGGACGAATGGACCCGTCTGGTCCGAAACGTAACCTCTATTCGGCATTGATCCTAGTCAATCGAAGAGCTGAATAAAATAACCAACACTCCAGCCAGTAGAACAAAGGCCGAGTAGAAGTACATGTAAAGGATCAAGGATGGGCCTGGCCCTAAGGCCTAAAGAGAACATTATAAATACGGGATCATTAGTCAGAGAAAAGTATGTAAGAACTAGTGAACTTAACTTAAGATACAAGTAATCAAGAGAGTATACACTGACTTATCTGTCGGAGTGCTAATTCCGACACCCCCGACCGGAGTGTTCATTCCTTTTCAGGTGACTAGCTGAGGATCACAAGCGTCCCCCAAGACCAGAAGAGTATTTCCAAACCACTTACCCACAATATCATTGAGATTTCACTGTAAATAATATTTTTATAAATTTTTTTATATAAAATATTTTCTTTATGTTTGTTATAAAATTTTTTACAGGCATATATTACTAGAAGAGTTCTACATATTAAACGATTCAGATTATCAAAACGAGACTCTCCGCCCTTGCCCACAAGTCCAACTTTACCATTCAAATAAGTGAATGTACACATGTTATTATTTTTTTTTCCCTTTCATTGCATGTGGCTGACGTCCGTACGTTGATTGGTTGGTCGGATTGAACTTTTATATTAATTTATCATTTAAATTAATATTTGTATATTATTTTTTATTTTTTTTGTGAGTAGTGATAACTTTTTAACATTTTTAGTAACTTTTTGATTTTTTAGCTTTTTCTGAACTTGCCAAACCAGCCCTAAGTTAGTTTGAATGATTAGCTAAAACAAAGTATGATTGGAGAACACAATAGCTAAAGAACGTACTTTTTTTATATTTTAGGTAGCAAAAAATAAAGAATATGATTGGAATTACTCTTATGAAATAACTTAATAAGAAATAGAAAAATCACAATTATTTTTTTATTTTTTTTATTTCTCACTTAGAAAAAAAAAATCACAATCATTAAGGTAGCGGTAACGTTTACGTTTTTTGTTTATATTTATAAAAATTTTATAAACTGGTTTTTGTTTAATTTTAGAAAAACATAAATTACAAACGCGTTTAGTTTTAACAAAATATTTTAAAAATTTTAAAAATATAAACTAAAAAATATGTTTGTTCAGTCCTAAAATATTTATATTTATTTTTATTAGGAAAAATTAGTCTAGGTCCCTCTCCCACTTTTCATAATAGAAGAAATCCACAAAATTATTTTTTGATATCTAAGGTCTCTAAACATATATCAGAGAAATTTGACTCTTTGTCTCTCTCTCTATTTCTCTCTCTCTCTATCTATCTCATTTTGATCACCACCACTAGACGCCCTTCTTTCTTCGACTTTCGGAAATCGCTGATCACAAAGCCTCTATCTTCTTTCTCTTTCGCAAATAGTAAAGTAAAGAACAAAAGTAGATCACCGAATTCGATGGATCACCAGTGTTTAGATCAAGTATGCTCAATGGGAAGAGTCCCAAAAGGACTTTAAGGGAGCTTGATTAATCTGGGAACGAGCCCTAGAGGTCGATTATCTAATTGAACACTTTGTGGTTGAAGTACACAGAAGTTGAGATTTGGGGCTTCTTCTTCTTCGTCATCGCCGCCGCAAGAGAAAGGAAGTCCACCGTGTCGCCGCCGTTGGCGCGGTGGTTCTTGTCTTCGTTTTGAAGCTTCGATTCGTGCTCTCTCTCCAAACTCCTTTGGGGAAATATGTATGCAATGGGGGAGGGAAGTAAGGAGAGTGAGTTAGTTTTAAACCTTGCCTCTTAATCAAAATCGTATGTATAATATATAAGTGAAATGAGGAAAGAAAATGTGGTATGGAAGAATTTGTTGTTAAATAAACAAAATATATGAATTTTTTGAAGGGGCAAGGATCCTTTTGCATCTCTGATCACATCCTGACTATTGAAATAGTTAAGGTTCAAATTCTGATTTATTTTATCTTTCTTCATTTCTTTGCAACTGAAAGGAGGTTTATTAATTAATAAAATAGTAAGGAAAAAAGAGGGAAATAAGCCATGGTATAACAATTCTAGTGATAGTATGGGGTTTGTGGGCTTTGCTAACTGGTTAGATTATGCAACCTTAACTCTGCGTGCACCTAGGCCCTCCCTTAATTCTAGCCACGCTGACTATATATCAATAATTTTGCTCTTTCCACTTGATATTATTATTTTCTTTGGAGCGTGTAGTGATTTTTCAGTTCTTAATAATAATAATAATAATAATAATAATAATAATAAAAACAGTGGTTACAAACTGTTGGCATACTATGGAGGAAGTGCTGATTTCTGTATAGTCTTATTTTATGGCAATGTTACCTTGGGCAGGGCAGAGGAGGACCATGTTTATCCAAACACAATCGACTCCCAATCCTTCATCCTTCATCCTTCATGTTCTATTCTGGGAAGCCAGTCATGGAAGTTGGGAGTGCAGACTTTCCTAATGCTCGTTCAGCCATGAATTCACCACTAGCAAAGGCCCTGTACGGGATTGATGGTTAGCTTGCTTTTCTTGTCTCCTGTATTGTTGTGATCAATTGGGATTCTTATTTGTCAAACCAATTACCTGCTAGTTTATGCTACCTTTTTATTGACAAATAGAATGTACCATCTTTATCTTCTATTAGTTTGGTAAAGGGAGTCTGGTTAATCTTTTGAAGTTCTGAAACTGACATTTAGGAGACAATTCCCATTTGTCATGTTTTGAAAAACAATGAAGGGTTGGTTATGCCTCTTATTATCTATTTTTTTTCTTAAGAGGATCAACCCTTGTATCCCCAATTTTTCTTTAAATGCCATTTTTGATGGGCATGGTGAGATTCCGTAATACGTAAGTATTAATGAATTCATTTGTCTGCCCCCCCTCTACTACTGACACCACCAAAAAAAAGAATTTTTGGTTGTATGTTATGCATGGTTCTAAATTGCGGTGTCGGAACATGTAGAGGTATTGGTCACGGTTTATCAGTATTAGGGGTATTGAACATATTGGGAATTGAGTGTCGCGGTTGTGAATTTTTTAAAACCATTAGCAACTTCTCTAAAATCAATGATATGTATTACTTGACACTTTTAGGCCTAATTTGTCACATTTTTTTATTCATTTTAAAGCATTAAAATTTCTGTGGTTGATCATATGGTTGTCTCTTTAATGTTAAAATGGTTTGATATGTAGAGTTTTTAGAGTAATTCAATTAGTTTGAATTTGAAAGTTTAAAGAATGGAAAAGAAGTCAAAACGTGCCAGTCGGCTATCCACGTAAGTAGAACATGTATTGGATGCCTTCTTCTGCATTACTATTTTAGTGGGTGCTTGTGTCCCACTTCACTAGAACATGTAAGTTTTCCTCACCAGGTTCTTCATAAAAGTAAAGCAAAGGGCTCTAAACTGAAACGTGTGGTGGAGGAACTAAGATTTACTTGGCGAGCCTAGTAGTTGTGCCCCAAAGGCCAAAAGTTAAAAGGTTAATTGTTATTATTATGAACCAACCATTATGGGTTCAAACTGACACGTCGGTATGCGAGCTTTGTTCTCATCAGTAAACGGTCTATTCCGAATTGGACAGGATGAAAACCAATACGAACCGACCAGTTTTTTGAACCATGATGCTATTTTTGAAATTAAATTTTAGGAAGTTTCAAAAGAGATGTAAATGCACGATTAAGAAATAAAATTTTAAAAGAAACAATATAATTTTGTACAAGGGACTTAGTGTTGTCATATGTATTGTTATATCACGCCTACATTGTTATAGGTGTTAGATTTACATACATTAATGCACTCATTGCATTGAGACAGTGTTTTCAATTATTTTGGATTGTGTAAGTGTTTTAAAAAAGTTTTTTTGTCAGATTTTTCATTTTGATGTGGTTCCTAAGGATAAAACCGGCTACTAACTTGGATTTGTAAATGTTGAGGATTGGCTATAACTTTTGAACTGCAATTTGGGGATGAAACTTGACAATGTTGAAACTAGTAACATATTCATAATATTTGAAACACTTATTTCTCAATGAGTTTAAGAAGTACTCAAGGGAGGCTCTATTCACTCGAAAAGATAAAGGGAGTTGAAAACGTTGACACGCACAATTAATTATGACGGTCAAAGCGGAGGAAAAATAGTTAGTGGGTGGGAAGTGCTGGTAGGAGGGAGAGGCCACTGCTTTTTTAATTCCAATGAAGTTGAAAAACTTTGTTACGTCATGTGCAGGGGGCTTAATTGCCCAGATAAGAGGAAAGTAGCTAATTCACTTATCTAAGCTTGGAGAGTAGATGTCGGCTTCTTGCAAGAGACAAAAAATTTTAAAACATGAACAATGAGCTGGACAGAAGCCTCTAGAGTTCTTAGTTTGTGAGCTGTGAGGTTGTGTAGTAGCTAGAGGTACAATGAGGAACATCTTAGTTATGTGGGATAGGAGACTAGGAATTGGAAGCCATGGGCGAGTTCCTTGAACTTCTTTATGTGGTGTTTTTTCGTACGGGTAGGGGGGGATAAGATGAGGTTAAGATGAGGTGAAGTCATGACAAAGGAACCTCCTTGGTTAAATGATATGCCTGAATGCTCAGGAGCCACTTATCTAGTGTGATGTACTTTATGGTCCTGATCTGGACGGGATGTGACTTAGGATGGAATATCGATTTTGTAATCAAATTACATTAATTAATCAGAAAAATTAGGAAGTGGAGGAGGGAGTAAGAGAAGGACCAAAAAAAATTCCTAAAGGAACTGAGATATTGTGCTCGATGTAGATTAAATTGCAAATGGAAGAATAGCAAAAAAGCCCAAGGAAGGAAAATAATTCTTCAAGAGGTATTTAGGATTTCACTAACCCTGATATGAAGGAAGGAGAGAGAGGGGCTCCTAGATTGTCAAGTGTATTTTTATTCTTTTTATTGAGTTTGCTAAATTAGTAGTTTGATTAAAGGCCCATATTAGGTTGTTGAGTGTAATGATATTTGAAGTTAGAGAATTTTCTTCATTCATTGTGATAATTCCAATGGATTTTTGGGTCTAATTGTCTTCACTCTACTTGTTCTCTCACAAAATAGGCATTGTTGTTTGTTGTTATTTGGCAATCTCAAGATGAACAAATAAATGTCCAATGTCCAATGTTGAATTCTCTTGGCTCTTACATGAACAAGCTCTCATGCTTAACAGATCTCATACGACTTGTGGTTTGATGCCCAAACTGAGGTGATTGTCATGACTTATGAGTGTCTTTTGAATTATTTGGAAAACCATCGAAATGATTATTGGTTTAGCACTTTTAAGAACTTTATTTTAGAGAAAGGAGGAGGAAATAAGGAAATCCCTTAAACCAGGTAAGGATGGCCATATTTATTTTTGTGCTGAAAATGCATGAAATGTAGAGTGCCATAACCATGTCTCTTTGAATTTAAACTTCCTAGCTTATTGTTGTACAAATGGCACTGTATAAGAATTTATTTAAAAATAAAAATAAAAAGAGAGAAAAAAGTCAAACAATGAAAAGGGGAAGCAGAAAAAAATTGTGCTGATAGCAGAATGTTCTGGGCTTCAATTATTCAAATACTGGATCAGAGTACCTGCAATGTCGGTTTGACCATCTCTCCTCTCTCTACCCCACTAAGCATCTAAATACTGAATCAGAGTACCTGCAATGTAGGTTCGACCATCTCTCCTCTCTCTCTACCCCACTAAGCTTTTGTGGGAGAACTAATTGGAATGTGAAAGACACAAATAATCTTTCAACACAAATTCATCCAGTTATAATTAGTACAATATTCTATTGAATCAATATTACACCTAGAATTGCCTTTTCACTTGTCTTAGGGAACTCTAGTTGGTTCTTTAATTTTTGTGGACCCTTTAAATAAAGCTAAGATCATAATTAAATCTTACTTATGGAGTTCAGGTTTTTGAGATGTTCCCTTCGAAACTCGAGGAGAGGCCTCGCTGGAGGATATTGTTTCTGGCGGATCGGTCGTTTGAACTTGAAGAGGGGTAGGCTGATTCGATTGGCTGAAGGCAAGTGGACATTGTCAAGCGTGACCTGGGGTTACGCAGGGTGATAGAGCTATTTGGCGGAGAGATCAAATGGTTGGTGGGTTATCTACACAAGGCATTTAAGATGAATATGAAGGGTGCGTTTACGGGTCGAGTTTTTGGTGGTCGACGGAGTGTGGCTTATTGGCTGCGGTCGGAGGAAACTGGGGCTGCGATAGAGGTGGTGGTGCAAATGGGTGACCATCGGAGTCAGATTTTCATTCCAAAACCTTCTTTTGGAGACGGGTGGGAAGGTTTTGCGTTGGTGCTTGAAGGCTTTGCGAGTGGAAATAGGTAGGTCAAGCCAAGAGGTGGTGGACAGTCGATAAGAAGTAAAGCATGGCCGATGGAGGAGGCGGTGGTTGTCTTTGGGGCTTGCGGCTACGGCGTAGAGGTTTGTCAATTATTAGAAGAGGGCTGGGTCAAATTCTTAGACTCTTGCTTGGTGGGTAGAGTGGGTACTCTTGGGGGTGAAAGGGATGGAGATGCCACGTTTGTCGGAGTGGGCATATCAGACATGGAAAATCAAGGGGGGTTGCAGGTCAAGGCGGTAGGCAACCAGTTCATGCTCTTTGCATTTCCGACCAAGGCAGACGCTGAATGAATCCATATGAGCAAGTGGGTAATGGATGGTCGATCGTTGTTGCTTGACTGGTGGTCGCTAGTGGCACTATGTGCAAGAGGCAATCAGGTTCCACTGTCGCAAAGCTTTTGGGTTCAGGTGTTGGGTCTTCTAGTGCACCTTAGAAGGGAACAGGTGTTTCGAGCGATCGGGGATTGTTGTGGAACATTTTTGGAGGTGGATGATGAGACGATGGCTATGGAAGCTCTGAGTGTTGTTTGTATAAAGTTGTGACGGTCAAAGATGTGTGCTTCGATGAAAATTTACGTTCGGTGGAGTCGATGGAAGTACATTTTTACCAGTTTGGTCGGAAGAAGGGCCGGTGGTGGTAGCTTGGGGATCACCGGAGACAAAGGTTCGTCAGGGGCCAAGGATGGAAAACCATGATTTTCGGAGATTTGATGATTGGGATTCTAGCCGAGATTTGAGGCAAAAGGATCCTCGGATCTTGGGTACACGGACTAGGCTTTCTTAGGTCTAGAGCCGTTTGGAGAGGGGGGAAAATAAAGTGAATGGGCCAGACGTCTTTGGACGCAGGTTTAATTTGGTGGGTCAAGTCTCAGAGAATCAAGATGTGGGCTGGAGGAAAGGAGATGGGCAGATTGGTGGTGTGGGCTCAACATCACATGGGCCTTTTTCTAGAGATGGGTTGAGCGCTTGGGTGACCTAAATCTTCGGCAGATTGAGCCTTGGTATAAACCCACCTTTGATGGGTACGGTCGCGACAAATAAGGAATCCGATAGGTAAAATTGGGTGGAGCTGATGACGGGTTTTGAGATGGTTGTTCGTTGTGATTCTGGGGACAATGAGCTTGGATCCAGGTATGCATTGGAGGCTGATGGGTCTAGT